CTGGCTGTCGCAGTAACGACCCCCACGCCGTTTCGAGAGCGAAGTCGGGGTTGGGAGCGTTTGGTGTGAATTTATTTCCACCTGGGCAAGCGTTTTCCCCACCTTATACAGTGGGATTTCTCCTGTGGAGAGTTTGTTCCTTGTCCAGGAGCCTTAAGCTGGAGGTTGTGGCCAGCCTTGGGGCGATGGGCTGCCGGCACCTGGGGGGCGGCCAGCAGCCCTGCTTTTGTGCAGAGCAGAATGCGGGCAAGCCTTGGTCTTGGGGCTGGCAGCTCGTGGGACTTCTCAGGTCGTTGTGATAAAATTGGGAAAACTGATTTTGTGGAAGTCTGGGTGAATTAAGATATTACGGTGGATTTGGAAAGCCCTGAAAGAATGACCATGCAACCCAGATCTCACAAGAGGTATCTCTTCACAAATGTCAAAGCTTCTGAAGAGCAGAAAACAGGTTTGTCACCAGGCTGCATCTGTCACAAATTCTCCGTGCTTAACGATAAGTTTGTTTTCCTCTTCAGGAAGGGGACCCCCTTCTTGCTGCTGTTGTTTTAATTAATGAAGTTAGTTTGTGACAGCAGACAGATACAAAGCATTTTCTGAAACACATGGATTTCTGACCAGTGTAAGTGCAAGGGCAGAATAAATGTAGATATAAATGGAAAACAGCATGTTAAAACCTGCTGTTAAAGCTGAAAAATTAAATTCTGGTAACTGCAAAATACCCAGTTGTCCTTTTCCCATTTACTAGGCGGAGTAGTTTAATCTGTCCTGACATAAGAAACCTCCTGACTTACGTTATTAAAGATCAAAATTTGGCTGAGATGGGCTAAGATTTCAGATACCAAAACATGTCTCCAGTCATCACTGACTTCACCGGTCCATTGCCAGACGCAAAGCCTTGTTAAATCGCACAGCAGAGTTTCAGGCTGCTGCAAGCACGCTGTCTAGACAAATGCGTGCCAGGAAGTGTGATGTGACCGTCTCATTCATCAGGTGGACTCTCACTACTGCCCCAGCTGCCTGGAAAACATGCCTTCGGCCGAAGCCAAGCTGAAAAAGAACAGGTAAGGTCGCTTTGGCTTTTTTTTCATCAAGACTCGTTATTTTATGCGGCTTCTTCTTTTAATCAACACCCGATCACACGTATCTGAAACTCTTCAAAAATGACATCGCTTCTTGTTACCTTTTAGTCAGTTTTGGGGGAATGAGTGTCTTTCCGTGAGGTATCACGTGCTCTTCATGTTCTAGTTTTTTTGATGACCTGCTCTCATAATGCAAAGGGGTTTTTAGTATCGCCCAGTATTTCTCACCGTCGCCATTCTTATGTTGACTCTGAACCCCTCCTGTTTCTGTTGATGGCTCTGCTGCCCTTTTTCCCCTAATGTTGTTGCATAAGGTGAAAAGGTCGGTTGGTTTAATCTTGACTTGCTTGTTGAGAGCATTTTCTTTGGCCTGGGATCCTTGTCAGAGCGCTGGCTTATAGGCCTTCGTCTTTTCAGGTGTGCTAACTGCTTTGACTGCCCCTGCTGCATGCACACCCTTTCCACCCGCGCCACGAGCAAAAAAACCCCGCTCCCTGATGACCCGGCCAAGACTACCATGAAGAAAGCGTATTACTTGGCCTGTGGATTTTGCCGCTGGACTTCCCGGGATGTGGGCATGGCAGACAAGTCTGTTGGTAAGTGACAGTTAAAGACAGAAAACTGAGTAACAGCAGGAGCCCAGCATGTGTTCTGAAGGTAACAGATAATCCAATTAGTTTCTGACCGTATGATACACGTAATATCTGTCCAGGTTTTGAGTCACAGTTGGAAATTCACAGGAAAAGGGTTTGTTGCTGAAGTCTCATCTGAAGAGCTGAGATGAGTTAGTGGAACGTGTGACCCACCTCCACGCTCGCGTTACCTGACTAGTGAGAAAGCTGTCAAACAAGGGCTTTTTTCTGTTGATGTGCTCTCCCCACAGCTGAGATCTTGTTTGTGTACCTTTGGAGACTTTAAAGCCGCTCAGTCTGACAGCATAAACATCTAATTTATTTTCTGTCCCTTTTGTTCACTTAGGCTTATTCCATAGTTGCTAGTCAGTGTTTGTACTTGGTTTTTCTCTTCATGACAGCACCAGAACAAAGCTTTCATCTCTTTCTTAGTGCGTAAGATATGCAGAAAATACCTGTCAGGCTCCAGAAATGGGTCTGAGTAGACCAAGCAGATCCTCTGACTTCCCGTGTTGACGTGACTGAAGACTGGGAGCTGAAGATGCAGGGACATGGGCAGCCAGTAATAAGAGACTGTCCTTGTAAACTCATGTACCTGCTGCTGTGACTCCTGGGTACTGTCCTGAGTCTCTCTCGAACAGCAGTTGTTTAAAAATGCAGTATAAAAGATGGTGAAGCTCCTTCAGCCCAAACCTGCCTGTGAAAAGGTTTCAGAGGAGTATATTTATGTAGGTGTGAACTTAAAGAATTGCAACAGTAAGTGTAGAAAATATAGGGAATGCCCTATTTCCTGAGTAAGACTGAGATAGTTGGGCATTAAATGTGATTTCTGTGTGCAGTCTGGAAATCTTCTCCTGAGGACTTCGTTTTTTCTCTTTCTCATGCAGCTAGTGGTGGCTGGCAGGAGCCGGAGAATCCTCACACACAGAGGGTGAGTGAGGGGGAAGGCCATTCTTAGGCTGAGACACATCAGCTAAAAAGAGCTGCTAGAGACACCAGGCCCTCTCAATCCCTTTTTCTGCATCTATATAACCCTTCAGATACCAGTTCCTAATCTCCACCTTGACTGAATTCAATGGAAGGAAGGCCTTTAGAGGCTCTCCTGTGGATATCACAGTATAAAAATCTCCTTTTCAGAAGAAACTCAGTTGAAAACATCATATCTAATAGTGCTATTAAAACAACACCAATGAATATGTTGTGTATGTATGTCCAAAAATAGCTGTTTTCCAATCAAGACTGTACATAGGATCTGGAAAACGGAACCACACTTTTACTACCCTTCCCTGTCACCAGTTAGGGCTCTACACTAAATGTGATCAGCCCTGGAAGGGTGGGGGGAAAGCTGCTGTTTGCTCCGCTAATCCAAATTGCTCGGTTTTGGCCACATGACATTACTCTGTCTAGTCACGGCAAATGTGTGAACAAAGTCTCAGTTGCCAAACGGCACAGTGAGAATTGGATGCTGCTCTCCAGTAGGTGTCATTCCCAAAGGAGGGTCAGTTTGTCACCCATGGTGTGGGTTAAGACATGTTAAGATATGCAGGCTTCTTTCAATATCCTTCAAAATACAGCTAGTACTAGGGACAGAGTGAAACAAGTAGTAGGAACCCCACCTTGTTCACAGGCAAATAGCAGCTGATTTGGCATTTGTTCCCCTTTCACTGGGTATCTGTTCCTTTTCATCCCTGCAGATTAACAAACTGGTTGAGTACTACCAGCAGCTGGCTCAGAAAGAGAAGATTGAGCGGGACCGGAAGAAGCTGGTGCGGCGCCGAAACTACATGCCCCTGGCCTTTTCGGTGAGCTGGGGGTATGGTGCTCTTGGAGCAGGAAAAGTGATGCACAACCACCTCAGCTTGGAAAATTATAGTTGGTAGCACTGTAGGGCTGCTCAGCTTTTTTTCTGTTGAGAACAACGTGAAGAAAATGTGCTAGAGCACATGGGTTTCTTTGGGGACAAGTAGTTTTACACCCATTATTGTGTATGGCATTGCCCCTCTCTCTCATAGTCCTCTCTGATCGTGCCAGAAGGGTTTATACTTGCCATGCAAAGGATTATGTTATCCAGCAGTGAAATGCAGTGCCACCGCAGTCATGAAACCAGTGGTAGCTCTTTCTCAGGACAGTTGCATACCATAGCTCAGCAACAATTAGATCAGGATTGTCTGGCGCTTTTCTGCATGAAGTCTCAACTGAAATTAACCTTAAGACTTGGTTGTGGCCTGAATTACTTGATTATTGTAACTGGCAGGTAAATGCTTACTTTGTTTAGCTGAGTGACTCTGCATATGCTTGCTACTTCTCAATTAACTGTGCTTGCTCTGTGCCCTTGCTTCTGTCTTATGGCTGCATTTTTTGTCTCCGTTGCTACCTGCTGCTATTTTGGGGGCTCTCCACAGCAACACACTATACACGTAGTGGTAAGTCTTTTCACAGTTTCTGCTGGTGTTAAAGCTCTCATGGTACCAACTGAAGGGCAGTAACAGATCCTGTTCTTCATCTTGCCCCAGGGCCTCTGAGTTGGATGTGCCTAGAACAAATGCACGTGAAGGCTAACTAGTTAGAGGATAACGTTTGTTAAAAAAAAATATTTTTTGTTAGTTTACCAAAAGGGCAGCGTCTTTGGGTAAGTAACACACACTTGAAAAGCAGTCCTTCACAAAGCTTGGCTGAGACGCAGCTGTCTGCCTGAGGCAAAGAGCGCTGACATTAATCTTCTGATCCTTGAAAAATCACTAACATAGGCTGGTGCTCAGATTTCTTGTCTGGTGAGAATTCAGGTTTTCAGTCCTGCCCAGAAGGAACTGATTTCTGCCTCCAGTTCTGTAGCTGCCTACAGTTCAGCTGTAGAAAGTTGGGGAGTAGCTCAGCTGTTCCTTCTAACTGATGGTGCCTGGCAAGAGAGACCTGTAAGTAACGAGGCTCATTGTAGGTTGAACCTTCAGCTGCTTCTAGTAGTGCTACAGAGCATCTCAGATGGATGCATACCCATGTTGACCCAGTTTTTTTGGCACTTGAGCTCTCATTCTCCACCAGTACTTGACATGCAGTTGCTCTGAAGAGAAGATCAAGGGAAAAATGTGTCAGTAGTGCAGGCTGGTGATTTATGGAAAGAGCAAAAGCTTTATAAGCAGTAGCCACATCTGTCTCTCCCTGCCTGCAGTGCAGTGGTAATTGTTTTCTCCTTACTAACAGTTTGAGCAGAAAAAAAAAATCTTGGGAAGCGTTGAATACCGTTCCCTTTTTGCTTTCCTTTGCTTGTCTCCCTGTGCTTGTCATGCAGCTCAAAGGATGAGTTTGCAGGAGGTCTTTTCGTCCTGGCAGGAAGCAGACCTGAAGCTGACAGTTCCTTTTTTCCTTGTAGGACAAATATGGCTTAGGAACCAGGCTTCAACGCCAGAGGCCCGGAGCACCGATCAGTGCCCTCGCCGGACTCTCGTGAGTCTCAGGGTTGGGGTTACCTTTGTGGGAAGGATAAGGAGGTGTAGGCAGCCTCCTACAGAACAGTAAAGCAACTTCAGAAAGATGATGAACGTATTGGCAGATAGCAGTGAAAGAAGCTTTCTTCTTTGGAGTGTTAGATGTCAAATCCTCAGGCATCTTTGTGCAGCAGCTCCAGATGTTTTGCTTTCTCCTAACAGAAACAAGTGACTGCTCATGTCCTTGTGCAGTTGCTGTTGTCTTGCAACCTCAGCTCTCGCTGCCTTCTGTGTTATAATGCAGTTACTGCTGTTGCTCTCTGCCAGAGCATGCATGCCATATTTTATGACCAAGGTGTCCCTCGCTTTGCTTCAGGCTGAAGGAAGGAGAGGACCAAAAGGAGATCAAGATTGAGCCAGCTGATGCAGTGGAAGAAGTGGAACCTCTTCCTGAGGATTACTACACAAGACCAATCAATCTGACAGAAGGTACCACCTTAATATTCTGTCACTTCCTGCCCTTACACTTTATAACGTGGGCAGTGCCTCGAAACTTGCCTGTGGAGTTCCTAGTGCCACAAAATTTCAGTGATTTTTATGCTGGAATTGAAACGGTGGGAAATTTGTGACTTTTTAAATGGTAACTTTGAATGCAGCCTCAGCTTCATATTGTATTTGGAAACTCAGAGCCAAATACGTCAGGCCTCTTAACAGTTGTTTCATTTTCTTGCTGACCTTAATTTCTCTATGTGTAAAGTGTCAACTTTTGGCCAGAGAAAAGAGCTGATGTCCTTTGTCAAGTAATAGCAGGAAATAAGGAAGTAGCTGAGCTACTGGGGAGTTGGAACGTTAACCGAACTGTTAAATGACAATTGCGCATTACTTTGACATCAGCTTGGAACAGCTTGTGTACGCTTGCCAGTTATTTAGCTGGCTCGTGATTTAATCAGCAAATATTGTAAATTGGTCAACAAAACTTGGGAGCGAATGGGATAAAGCAGCAGGTTCTCTGTAGTCCTGCAGGCCTACAAAGTCCGCCAATATTAATTAATTCATGAAAGGTTTATGGAAAAGGGTAGATCATCTTGGTCTTCTTTCCTCATGAGACTGTCAGCATTGTGAGAGTATGATGCTGGTAAAGAAGACAATTTTCGTAGTTCCCCGCAGTAAGGGAAAGGCTGCCAGGTGGCTCACTGCCTGTTAGACACTGGGAACAGTGAGGAGCCTGTTTTGGGAGAAACCCACGGGAAGTTTGGCTGCTGGAGTTCCTTGCCTTGGGAACTATGTAGTCACTAATTCTATGCGTGAGTCTGAGTTACGCAAACTCCTTGCTGAGAAGCTGCATATTGTACTTGTGCAGCACCCAGCTGTGAGGGTAACAAAGCTGTGAAAACAGATTTGTGCATGGAGGGGAAAGAACTTATTTTCTGGATGATTACAAAATTCTGTTTCCACTCCAGCTGAGCTTTGAATAGAGATCAGGGTCCCTTGTTTCTCCTGGGCTTGGCACTGATGTTGCTCTAGTGTTATTGTACCCAGTCAGGGCAGCCCTTTCTACAGCTCTTACCTTCCACTGATTCGCTGCTAGAAACAGTGGTACTTGCTACTGGCTTCTGGGTGTGGGTGAAATGAAGGTCCTTAGAGATTGTAGCATGTCTGCCCACAGCGCGCGGCATGCTTGCTCTTAGGCCAGTGCATATGTACAGTCCAGCTTGAGTTTCAGCGCCCGAGCGAGACGTTAATTTGGTCTTGCTTTCTGGTGTGCACCCAGTGACGACTCTGCGTCAGCGTCTGCTGCAGCCTGACTTCCAGCCGATCTGTGCTTCCCAGCTCTACCCACGTCATAAGCACCTCCTGATCAAACGTTCGCTGCGCTGTCGGGTAGGTAATTAAATACAAAAAAGTGCTTTTTGTAGGCTCTCAGAACTTGGATTGTGGGAAGCGGGCTGTGTATTTCTTCTTAAAAGAAAGTTCTCAACCAAATTACTGGTAACAGCACTAGGAGATGAGGGAGGCATCTGTGACGTGATGAAGATTGTGAAAGGGAGACAACATTGTCAAAGATGTATAAAGATCCAAAGGTGGGTTTGCATAAGGGTCTGTGTGCCCTGCCTAGCCGAGGAATCATAGAAGGCTGCCAGTACAGTCAGAATGAAAAAATTTCTGCTGTTACTGAAGGCAACAATCAAGTCAGGAAACATTAGTGAGAGGCAGTGCAGAATACTGAAGGCCTTAGAGTGAAGGCAGAAAGAGGATACTTCAGACAAGAAAAGCAGAGAGCTGGGAAGTGAAGATGGGCAGGAATTAACTCCAAGTTTTGCTGTTGGCTTACTACATGGTCTTTAGAAAGCTGTTTGCTTTCTCAGTGGAACAGTGGTATTTATCTAGTTCCCAGATAATAGAGCAATATTCTTGCAAGTATTTAAGATGCAAAATGCCTTGCAAATGCAAAATATTTTCTCAGAAATAGGTAGTGTCGGGCTGAGCTTGTGTTTGAAGAGCAGCTTATGAGAAGATCAGTCTTGAGTTCCAGCTGTTTGTTTTTTTAATGGATTCTGAAGTGTAAGTCAAAGGGCCTGCAGGTATTTGTGCCTTCTTCCTGCTGCAGTCAGTGAGTGTCCAAGTGTTTTTAAGCCTAGTTCCAAATCTCGTATTTCTGAGATTACACTGATAGGGATGGACGTGACATTTTTGGAGTATCAGTAACCTGACACAGCTCTGGCTACACTCGTCCCAAGGTAGTTTTTGCGTGCACTGTGCTAGAGGCTGGTAATGTGGCTAGCGGCATTGTGCTTGCAGCTCTGATTCTTCGGTGTGGACTGGATGCTGTCTGTTGGCGCTGACTAAAATATCTTTGTGTCTAGCTGTGTGAACATAACCTGAGCAAACCAGAATTCAATCCGACATCTATCAAATTCAAGATCCAGCTGGTTGCTGTGTAAGTAAGATACAGGGATCGGGGAGAACAATGCCTATCAATACTTAGTTAATGCCTTCTATTTTCATTTCTTTTGTACTCTTGATTTGAGCTCTTGTATGGCTGTGTCCTCTCTTAGCATGGTGTAATCACCTTTTAAAATATATTTTCCTTATCTGTAATAGGTTTGCTTCCTGATCTACTAAAACATTTGCTGAAGATTTTAGCAGTTTGAAAAAGGCACTGCATGCTGTGCCAGCCCCACATGGCAGCAGGAGTTTGTAGGATTAGGCTTAAATAGCAAAAGGGCACCTCTTTTTTTTTTCTTTTTTAAATGTAAGCTAAGCTCTAGTAGCATTGAATGAGTTAGATGGATGTCTGTGAATACATCCCTGTACTTCAAGAGGTGGGTTGTTGACAGCTACATGGTCCATCATGGTCATTTGCTTTGTTGTTCTTGTAGTAACTATATGCCTGAAGTGAGAATCATGTCTATTCCCAACCTGCGCTACATGAAGGTCAGTAGTTTTTCCCAGAAACGTCTTGGGGTGAGACACGGCTGGGAGGTGCGGATGTGGGATCTTTTTGGAAGATGACACGCTGTGATGATTGTTCCCCGAGGGCTTTGCTTACTCTGTTTAGAGAGGGTGCAGGGTTTAAGGGCGTGGTCAGAATAACACTGCATGTACTTGTCACTCTGCAGGAGTAGATTACCGTGCAGCGTGACATCTGGCATCACAAGCATATGCCAATATCTGAAGAATAAAAGGTGTGGAGTTGAGATCTGGGCTAGATTCCAAAGACATGTATTTCTTACGTTAAGAAAGAGTGCTGCATGGCATTGACACTTTTCTTATGGTCCGGGGGTGTTCATTATCCATCCCTTGGTGGGATGGATATGTGATATGATTTTTTAAAGGTGTTGATCAGTCATAGAAGATGGAGGTGCTAACATAGTAATGAATTTTAGAGTAATTGCTTCTTACACTGTGCTTCCTGAATCTCCCCAGGAGAGCCAAGTCCTCCTGACTCTGACCAATCCAGTGGAGAACATCACACATGTCACACTGCTGGAGTGTGAGGAGGGAGACCCTGACAACATCAACAGCACCGCCAAGGTATTGTACCCTACTGCTGTGCAAGCCCAGGCCTCTTCCAAGGCTTTCCACTCTCATCTGTCCTTCCACAGGTCACACTTCCCATGTCTTCCATCCCTGACTGTGTTGCATTTTCCTTCTTGGAGCTTAATGTCACCAGTGTAAACATCAGCTCATAAAGTATTTTGAAATTGTGTCTATTCTTCGAGATCCAGAATACACAATTTCACTGGTAGAGTGGTAACCAGCTGGTACCAGAGTGGAGGGAAGTGGAGGATGAATCACGCTTCTGCAAAACTGTAGTAAAGCAACCCTCGGAAGGGGAGGGCTCTCTCCTGCTCGCAGCGTAGGTGGTGATCAGTGCTGAAAGGCTGCTTCTCTTTGTGTTCTGTTTCAGGTGGCAGTTCCTCCCAAGGAGCTTATTCTGGCCGGCAAAGATGCTGCAGCAGAATATGATGAGCTGGCAGAGCCTCAAGACTTCCAGGATGACCCTGAGTGAGTGTTGTCTCTCCTGTGGGGATCCTCTCCCTTAAAAACTTGGCACTTCAACCTAGTAACTCGCTCTCTTCTCTGTTTTCAGCATGGTTTGGTTGGGGTTTTTTTCAGGTTTTCTTGTGGGGGTGTGGTGGTTTTTTGGGGGAGTCAGAGATCAGCAATGCAAATCTTTCTGCTTGTGGTTTGGACTATTCAGGAGACATTTGTTCCCTTTGAGGCCAGGTGTGCTGTTACAGCAGTTGAGTTATAGGTGGTGGTACTAATTCTCTCCAGGAATACTCTGTGTAATCCTTTCCTTTGCAAGCAGAGGGGGTTCATGGTAGCAGTGAGAATTACACAGCAGGGTGTACGACAGAGTTGCCTCCAGCAACAGGGCAGCTGTTCTAGCAGGGCATGTTCAGCCCACGGGCCATGAACTGAACATCCCTCTTATGTGGTGTCAGAATAAATCTCTCAGAACAATTGTTTGAGAACTTGGCTGACCCAGTGTTCTTTTGTTTTCTGCCTTGCAGCATTATTGCCTTCAGAAAAGCCAATAAGGTAGGAGTTTTCATCAAGGTCACCCCGCAGAAAGAAGAGGGTGAGGTGACCGTGAGTTTCAAGATGAAGCACGACTTTAAAATCCTCACCGGTATAATCCGGCCCAGCGAGGAAGGCGATCATACCTCTGGGGTCGTCTGGCTCACCCATCACGTGGAGCTCAGCCTCGGTCCAGTGCTCCCATAAACGCTCCCAACGCTTGTGCCCCGACGGCTGGCCGCAGGACGGGCTGTCACAGTAAAGAAAGCACTGGGTGAAGCGTTCTGCGAGAGCTCCTTTGTGATGTGTGGGTGTGTGCCATGGGCCCCAGCCGGGCCGTGAGGAGGTGGCTGAGGGTGCCGTGGTTTGGGATGGTTTGTTCTCCTCTTGTCGTAGTGCCCACTAACTACCGCTCCGCTCCCCCACACCGCCACAGGCTAGTTTAACTTGCAGCACGTGTTTCAGCACAGAGGAAGATCTCGCTCTCTCCAGATTTGCACTGCACCTGGCTAAATTTGGCTTTATCAACAGAAAAGAACCCATATTGGTTTTTTTTCTTCATGTCAGCCCACAAACCTGATGTTACATCCTCAATAGCGAACAAATTCTTCTTCACACAGAGCTATGCCCTTCCCGAACAAACATTTTAAGAGGTGACCATGTCTGCTGTGTTATTGGCAAGCTATTGGCAGCAGCACAATACTTTTTTTTGGTTTTCTGCTACCTCGTAGGATACCTCAGCTGTGGGGGATTGGGACATCCAACCCTACCACTCTGGCATATGCAGCTTGCTTAGCCGAGGTGACGGATCTGTTTTCACAAAGGGAATGATCAGTTTGCCTTGAAACTCAAAATGTAGTGTACTGTAGCGTTCATGGATTTGACTGGCAACCAAGCCCGCTGTGTCGCAGGTGGCTGTGGTAGCGTGGTGTGCTACGAGGTGGGAATTCAGGTTCTGGTACAGCTCTTGACCGAGGCAGGGGTGCTCCGGAGAGGCTGCTTGGCAGTCTTCAGATCAATTAATGCGTGTTAATAGGGGAAGCGATCAGAGTATGAAACTTGGAGAGTTAGAATTAGGCCTGGTATACATAAAACCCCAGTTTGAGTTCATACTCTGTCTTCTTCCAGTTAGGGTGGGTGGGAGGGAGGTATGAAGGTGGAAGGCCAGTTACACATTACCTAGCATACACCGTACCATAAGGTAATTTATCTGGGGTGTAATTTGGCTGTAGCCCAAGCTAGAACCAGTAATTAAGAGCAGCGTATCCGGGATACTGAATTACCAGTAACTGCACAGCTTAGTGCAAGCGGGCGAGAGCGCTCTCCCTGCCCAGCATTCCCAGTTCAGGCGCTGACCTCTGTTAAACATTTCTGGGAAGGGCTCCACTACGGGCCAGCCGTGGCTG